CCATACCTAAAGCAAAATAAATAAGCATGGAGAATGAAGGAGTGCATGCCTCATAAGCCCTTAGGCGGTGCTGTGAAGAGTGTGCCTCACTCAACAGAGACATACCCTTCAAAAACTGCCTCCTAGTTAGCACCTCGAGCTTTTTTCGTTCACCTCACTATTAGGCGGGCCTCAATCGGGATTTTTCAAATTATGAGCTAGACACAGTGAGACATCAGGCTTCCAGACTGCGGGTAGAAAGAGAATGATGCTTTTTTCACATGAGATTGAAAAATCAACGCATTGATCATGAGTAGGTCCAAGATATCAGCAACATAGTGCCAGTTTGAGCCCCATTTTTTGCCAAAAATGCATTTTGGAATAGTATTTTGTTGAAAAATATGTGGTTAAAAAATAAGAAAATATTTTGGGTTTGCGTGTAATATTATTTTATTGAAGAGTGTAGTTAAAAATAAGAGAGAAAAATATATTTTGGAAATAATGGGTACCAAACAAGGGCATAATTTGGATTATATATGCATATGCCACTGAAATTAGAAATTTATCTCAATTCTCCACAAATAGAGGCAAGAACACAATGGTATGATGCAGATACAACACAAAACCATCATTTTGTTACACAAAATTTATGGACCAATTAAGCTAGTACTCGTCAAACACATCAAATAGAAATAAAAGATCAAAAACCAACATTTGAATCCTAAACTCAATTTCTTTGCCATAAGTTAATGTCTCCTTCCTGTTGTCAAGGTCATCTATCTTTACAACCAATTCTGGTCTCTAGACAAAGTTGGCATATCCAATGCTCAACTTGGAGAAAAAGGACGTCAATGTGCACGCAATACTTGTGTTGACTTCCACATGGAAGGACAGAGGAATATCTGTTGCTGAACACTCATAAGGAATCATAAAGGAAGACAAAAATATTCGAAACAGCTCATTTTCAATACATTTATGACATAAAATAAAGTCAATGTCTCATTGATGCGGTAGAAAACATAAAC